TACATCTGCATTATTCAGTGGCTTTGTCAGTTGACATAACAAAAATGGTGATTGTGACCAGAAATATTGGATTAAGCAGAGGAATTAACTCAAAACTATTGAAACATGTGTTGTGTACTCTTTTCCCTGTTTTCCCCTGAGTGTATTACATGTTTGAAATGTCTTATGTAATGACCCAGTGATGCAGGAGCATAAATACTGAATCTGTGGGGTGTTTGCTGTCTGGGGAAGATGTTGCTAAGAAGGTTTTCTGTTAAGATTCCTACTTGCCATCTTTATCATGATGCCGGCTGTTGACAATCTTTGTAAGGCACGCTTTAGTTTGTGCTGTAGTTTATTATGTAATTATTCATTTAAACTGTCAGATAGTTAGGAAGGGCAATAAAATTGCTTTCAGAAGTCTTTCTATGCTGAGTAGATGCTTGATATCCAGTTTGATTCTTGGCTGGGTTGACACTGGGGGTGACGGCAGTTAGGGCACAGCTGCACGCGTGCCACTTCCTTTTTTTCTCTTGTACAGGTAGGGGCCTGCTTTGTTGTGCCCTGGGGGTGGGAATCATACCTCTGTAGATTTTAGGATCCAGCTGGTTGAACACATCACGCTTGTGGCTGCTCTTAGTGGTGCAGGAGGTAGCAGCAGGGATAGGCTTTCCTTTCTCAGAGGCAAAAGGGATTTACACTGCCCGCTCTTTAGTTACTTATTTACTCCTCCCGTTGTTTTTCAGCCTCCCCTGCTCGCTCTGCGGTTTCCCTTTATTCTAGGACCAGGGGTGCAACTTCTTTCTTCTGGGGGCGGCTTTCCCGTGTGGAAGCATTGGTGAACTGTTCTTGTTTTCACTTTATACACAGACTTCTGGTTTCACAACTGCTGATTGCTGATCAAAGTTTTGACCTACGATGGTGTAGGTGATGGATTGATTTTTGACTAAGTTGATTTAATGGTTTGAGTTTGTTAGCTTCTCTCGTGCCTGGGTCATAGAGGGAGGGAAGGCTGGTGCTGGAATACAGAAGGGCATCTCGTCACTCAGTATGATTTTGATCAGACGTGCACCTCAGTCAGGTTTTTTTGCTGAGGCTGGTAGAGATCTATCAGCAGCAATCATGGTAACATTTTCGCTGTGCTTTGTACTGTTGAAAGATCTAATTTGAGATTCCTGTAACCCAGTAATTGCATTAATAGTGAGCTCAGTGATGCTTGGCAAGAGGATATGCTTCTGTATCTTAAAAGAAGATGTTTTGAAGCTTTAGCTCGGTGGAGAAGGAAGTGCAGCGAGGACGACTGACTTACAGTTTGCTTTCAGTGTTAGGCCTGAAGATGTAGAGAATGTTTATTTGAAGTATTTGTAATAGCTGGAACCATTGATGGCACTAACAAGCACTGACAACGTTCTTTGGTCAGCAGAAGATGATCCCTTCCCAGTGGCAGTAGTTCTGGTCCCCAGATAATGTTAGGCATTTTTCCTCTATTCTCCGTTCATTTCTAGGTGAGGTGTCTGCGCAACTGTATGTAGCAGGAGAAAAGGTTCATCCTGCCTGGTGCCCTGTCCTTCAGGACTGAATTTTCAACCGGGGGATCTTGTGTGCAGGGCAAACTGTAGGTACTTGCTTCCTGGGCTTGCAGTTTAGAACTGGAAAGGCTCGACTGTCCAGGAGTGTGACCTCTCTTTTCCCTAAAACCAAGGCCTGTGTTCCTTCTACAGAAAAACTCATTTCTCTGCATTTTGTACGAATTTCTGGACTTGCATTCCAGACATCAATTTTGCTTTGCAAGATAGCCCAGCAGTTTGGGTGCTCCAAGCTTTGTGTCTGAAAAATGATCCCTGGCATATCCTTATTATTGTGAATGTGCTCTAAAACTTATCTTGAATACCTTGGAAGTGCCAAAATACAGGAAACAAGAAAATTCTCTTGCCTTGTTCTGGAAGAAAAGCAAGTAAGAGGCATGAGTGGCTTTGTGTAGAGTCGGCGTTCCTGTGTGCCAGAGGTGGCACAACCCTGTTGCCCCGTATCTCCTGTTGGTGTGACGGGACCTGCACCTGTCAGGAGAGGTGCTGCTGGCACTCTCCTCCCTCTTTGCTTGTGTGAAACAGCACGAGTTGAAGCCTGTGATAAAGATAAAACAGTACAAATTGTTCTTTAACTTGTTTGGGTTTAGGCAGCTTTTTTTTGTGGTTTGTTTTGCTTTTCAGTTGAGTGAGTTGAGCTTCCACTGGCCGTAGCAGCAGTTGTAGAAATACTACATTTACCACAACTGCGAGTTCTGCCTGGGACTTTAATTATTCATGCAGAGACTGCCACCTTTTTTTTTTTTTTTTAATCAGATCCCATCCTGTACTTTCCTTTCCTTCCTTTTAGTTTGTCTTCTGTGAATTGCACAAAAAGTGAAGCAACACTGTAGGCTTTGCTTTTCTAGGAATAGTTACAAGAAATAAAGTAACATTCTAACTTTTTAGTCTTATGTAATTTTTTTACATCCTGTCCCTGGAGAAGGTAAAAACCTGTTGCTAAGTACGTGGGCCTTTTTAAACTTTAAAAGTGGATGGATATCATTAAAATTCAAGATGTGGTTGGGTTTTGCCGTGTATTTAACTGAGTTGAATGTGTTTCTGGTTGCTCAAGAGCATCTAAGGATAATCTGGATGCTGTAGAGGTGCTGTCTGAAACAATTTAAAATCCTCTGTAAATTCATCAAATATTGGAGCAACGTAGCTGCGAAAGCATGTTAAGGAAAGGTAACTTTTGCCTGAGCATCTTATGCATGCCAACGACTAAGTAGGGGAAAAAGATAGAAAACTGCTTTGGATAAGAAATTAAATCACTCACATGTATTTGTCACTCACTAGCTGTTCTGTTACTTGTGATGCCAGTTTGTAACATTGCCGTTAACTTTGTTGTTGGGGCAAAATTGGATCTGCACATCCTCAAGCTTCAGTATATCATTTATCCTTTCATATTTACTCTAGAGATGATAAATAAATGCAATTGTTACTTTCATGGAGTTTGCAAGTTGTTGATGTGGAGTTTTGGGGGTGCTTAAAATGAATAGATTGAAGCTGGTCCTAATACTTGCCCAGATCTCGACATGTGCAAGCCTACCTCTGTGTTGTCAAGGTATTACGTTTTAAGTTTTTAATTCAGGGGACAGAAATATGTTTTACATCGCACACTTATCTTTGTGGGAAGGCAGGTGCTGTCTTCAGTTAGTGTGCACATTTCTTTTTCTAACTAGCCCGTGTTTGAATCCTGAAACCTGAACCATGAATGAGTAAATAAAAAATACTCAGATGCCCAATAAATTTCTTTTTTTGACGTTTGTATTTAGCTGTCTTCAGAGAGATGCTATTGTTAGTCACTAAAGCATTTCTCCTATAATTAAAGTCTTTCGTACGCGTGCCAAAAGCCCAGTATGTATTACTGACTTGCAGAACAAAAGGGGATGCGTCAAATTACTTGAAAAATACTTAGAAAAGGTGTTTGTGGCTGTTTCCTCGGGGATGAGTAGATGACTGAGTGCTGTCGGTACCTCTAAGCAAGCAGTATTTGAACAATTCATGCATATGCAGACTGATTTTTATTTTGTTTTTTAAACTTCCTGATATTAGAGGTCACAGTGGGAAGAGAGGGGAAATGGGCACCTCGGAGTGCTCCCATGGATTTGCTCGGTGACCTTAAGAAAATCGCTCAGTTTCTTACACCTCTGGTAAGAATGTGTTACCACAGGACTTACTCGTCAGGGCTTGAGGATGAGTAGAGACTTCATACGTTTGTTTAAGATTTGGAAAAGTTTGTAAACATCATTAGAGCCAAAAGCTCTTCAGATGTTTCATTATTCCAAAACATTCAGAGAGAGTAGAGTATCTTCTGCAGCCGGTTTCGGTTCTCAGTTGGGATTGTGTTGAGTTTGGGGATTATTTTGGTTTATTTGGTTCTCATTCTTCCATCACTGATTTGAAATGGTGACTTGGCGTAAAATACTGGCTTTTTTTTTAGCTTATGTTCAAGACTGACTAAAATGTACTGCATGCAGTTCAAGTTTTTCTTTTTTTGACTATAAATTCCTATAAAATACATATTTTTCTTCATAGAAGAATAAGTATTTCCTCAAGCTAAAAGCCTTTTTTTGAACGTCGGTATTTTTAGACTAAAACTTTGTCCTACTGATTGTTTTTGTAAGAATAACTCATGTTCATGTATTGTAGTTAGTCGCAACAGTGTGCAGCTGCAGAGCCATACTTCAAATAGCCTTATCTTGAAGGTTATACGGCTAATTTTAACTTGTTTAACTTGAATATCTCTAAATCCAGCAAGTGAAAGATATTTTAAAAAGTTATAATCATTGATTTGGCCTACTTCAGTTAGATTGAAATGTCGAGTTGACGATGTGGAATTAAAGTAAATCAATTTTTTGAATGAAGTAGGTAGTCTTCACTGCTGGTCGGGTTTCCGAGGTGTTCACCTTGGTCAGCTGGTAGGTATTGGTAAAGCAGTAGTATTTGCTTGTTATTGCACCTTAGCCGTTGGGTGATGATGAGAGACTCGGGAATTAGACTTAACAGTGTTTTTCTAATCGCTTTGAGTTTTATTAATAACTACCCCAGGCCCCGCGGTTGATTTCTGCTTTAACAAACACATGGAAGAAGTGTCCAACTCTGAAAGGGGCTCAGTGTGGGACCTTGGCTGGATTTAGTGTAATGCTCGCGAGCTGCCCTGGTGCTGTGGTTTAGCTTCACCGCCGTGACTGCGTTATCTAGAGTAAATAAGTGGAAACCCAAAGATAAAGCAGAAACTGGCAGAAAGGTTTTCTGTAGGAGTGTACAACTGTGTAGCTGGGCGCTGACGCAGAGAGGGGGTTGGTCCCGACCTGGAGCTTCCACCTCGATGGCTGGGGGCGCTCGGCTCTTTGCCCGGCGTCTCAGGAGCTGTGCCGCAGCATCGCCTGGGTGCGACGGGCCTGGGGAGTTGGATCCTTCTGGTCCAAACGCAAACTGCTCTACTTCACCTGCTTTAACGGCTGTTTCTCTTTCTCTCCCTTTCTGAGGAGTGGCATATCTGAAAAGTGGATGTTCAGGATAACATGTCCAATGTGTCGGAAGAGAGAAACACTAGACAGCAGGACATTAAGAAAGGACTCCAGTTTATAGAGTACGATTTTGTGGTTTTGTTCTTGAATGCATGAGAGGGGGGTTCTGGGAAAATCCTTTTAATGCCGCGGAGGGAGGAGGAGGAGGATGACCTGTGTTTCTCCTTAGACCATTTGCTAACACTACCTTGGGAATGGGGAGCAGTCTTAAAGAAGGGTCAGAACCCCTGTTTGTTCCCCAACAGAGCAGGCTGGGGCTGGGAGGGCACTCCTTTTCTGTCTTGGAGAAAACTCAGCGTTGAATTTGTTGGTGGATGGAAAAAGCTGATAGCCTGAAAATCCACCTTATACATACACCTTATACTTAACTGGGCTGCTCCTGAAGGGTTTGCTCACCACTACCTAAACGTTTCAACTCTCTGGAGCTAAAATTTACCCTAAGGAAAAATCACTTTATTAGTTAATTTTCATTTGGATCCATGCCAATTCTTCTTTAGGAGATCCTGGCTAGCTTAAAATCATTGTGGAATTTCACACTAGTTCACTGCTGGCATAAGCCATTGTTTAAAAAAACAACAACAACAAAAAAAAACAAGCCCCAGCCTTTTAAAAAATATTAAAAAATATTTAGAAAGAGATTCTCAGGTAACCTGTATGGGAAGGGAAAGGGGTCTTATTTTTCTTCCTGAAAAGTTAGAAGTAAATCCCTCTGTTCTGTGCTAGCGAAAGTCTCTTGTGTGTCGTACAAAAGAACTCTTAGAGTTCTTGTAGTGTCGTTGCTATGACTTAATTAAAACTGATGTGTTCTTTTGACACAGAGTTTGTCATTTTGTCATACTTACAAAACAGTGGCAGTTCTCCTCATGCATAACCTGTTTCTTCATGACAGAAGAGAGGAAGGAAATTGTTTTTAAATGAACAACACTGGGCTTTTAAGCTCAAAACCTTAATACATTTTGGGTAGCAGAGATAAGACTGACTGTGTAACTGTAAAAGCAAATGTGTCATTAGTAATAAGAAAACATGGTTATTTCATCAAAACTAATCTATAGCGCTTCTGCCTTGTGCAGGGCAGGCACTAGACAATATTTAAGAGATTTCCCCGTTGAAGCAAGCGAGACTGCTTTTAGTAAGAACCAGTATTCTCCAATGTAATCGTCTTTTAAGTAATAAGTACATTTTGTAATTTCTTCTTCTAGATCTACTTTGCCCTATCCAGGGACGCAAGAACAATATGAGGTAATGAAATGACACTCATGTTTCCAGACGGGTTTTTAACTTGGGCCTATCTTAAAATATTTATTCTTGGTTTTAATCGTAATTTAAATAATGAGATAGTATGAATGGTGATTTCCAGTGTCTCGATACTGGAACTGGAGGACTACTTGCGTTGTGATACGGGTATTCAGATGTTTGGATGCCTGGAATTCTCTCATTCAGATTAGCCTTTTCTCTGCTGGTGTCAAGGATTAATTCGGGGCATTCATTGGATGTTATTCGTGCATTCAGAGTGTTATTCTGAGCTAAGTTTAGAGTACAGCATGGCAAAAGTGGGATAAAAGCATCTCAGTCTCACAAATCTTCATAATATATTTTGTTTCTCTACATGTTATTTTGCATAATTACGTTTTCAGACTAATCTTTTTAGCATTTTTGTCCAATGGTAGGTGGTTTCGTTGGATTTGAGCACATATTAGATAAAAATGCAACCGTTCATATTTTTAGATTAAAAAAACGTCCTTTGCTCTCTAAAAGCAGCCTTTGTGTGCTGCTGGTTTTCCAGTTGCTATGGCTGCTGCTTGCTAAAAGAATGTATGGGACACGTATATATACATGTCTTTTTTAAGTTACTTTTACATAAGTAGTTCTAGCAGTAGTTCAGCCTCTCTTTCATTATTTATTTGTGGTGCTGAATATTAGAGATTGCTTTGGAAAAATATCAGAAGAAAAATAGTAATACAGACAAAAGTTTTGATTCCTTGAAGTTACAAATGTAACTCTTCTGTTTAAAAATGTATTTGCAAATATGGAAAATAAGCAACAAAACTGCTGTTGATAAGTGGTTTTTTTTCTTTGTTGCAGTTATTTATACGGGAGCTTGTTAGAAATCTTTTTAATGAAGGGAATGATGTATATCGAGAAGGTGATTGGAGAGGATCACTGAGTCACTATACAGAAGCTATAAACATAGCTGATTATGCTAATTCTGAAGAAATTCATGTTTCTGATGATATTTTAGAGAAGCTGCACGTGAACAGGATAGCATGTTTCTCAAATATGGTAAGCTGCGGTTTAAACTGCGTGGTTTCCCCAGAACAATGTGCTAAGAGCATGAAGACATGGAAAGACTCCTCGTGACCGAAAAGCTCTTGGTGTTGGTTTGAGAATTGACATGTTAAAAATCAACGTTTTGGCATGTTCTTTATTATCTTCTTCTTACAAGTGTAATCATTGAGATATTTTTAGTTACTAATGCTAGAATATTAACGTAAAAGAGTCATACTAGACCTGGAGGTTGCTGGAGCAGGATTTTAAGCCATTTATAGTGCTGATTGCACCCGAGTCTGCTGCTGGCTCTGTGGAATAAGACAACTCTTGCGAAAAAGCTAAATTGTCTTCATAACTAGTATTGGATTTTATATGGAGGATGGTCCTGCTTGCTTTTAGCCGCATAAATTGGTAACTTACCAAAGCCCATACATGCAGTGTGCATGTAATCTAATACAGTTTGAATTGGGTATTTCAATGACAATAGTCCTGATCGGTGCCTTTTTCCTTTTTTTCTTCTCATAGGGAATGCATGAAAAAGTTCTAGAAGACTGTGAGATAGCATTAAGATTGAATGAGAACAATTTCAGGGCTCTCTATCGGAAAGCAAAAGCTCTGAATGAACTGGGAAGGTATAAGAAGGCTTATGATGCTGTAGCAAAATGTTCTCTTGCTGTGCCGCAGGTAGGTAAATTATATATTGATGATTATTTTCAAATATTTAATGCAAACCCCATGTATCAAGACCATTGAAGGGTTTTGGTTGGTTTTGGTTTTTAATACATAAAATATCTTTTGTTCCTGTAAGAATTATTTTTTATTGTGGAAGTGAAGACTGATAGCAGAGATTATAGTCCCCAAACTCAAGTTTGTTGTGTTATTTTTCAGCAAAAGAAATAGTTGCTTTGCAGTGAGGGTCAAGCACCATAACGGTTTGTGATAAAAACTAGAGCCACTGTATTAATTGTTTAAAATTCTCTACAGCCTGAAGTATACTTGCAATGTAAAGAGGGAAAGCACTCATAATTGTCACAGAATCCCATAATTTGGGGCTCAGAAGGGAGCTCTGGAGCTCACCCAGTGCGACCCCCTGCCAGAGCAGGGTCACCCAGGGCAGGTCCCACAGGAACGTGTCCAGGCGGGTTGGAAAGTCTCCAGAGCAGGAGACTCCACACCCTCCCTGGGCAGCCTGGGCCAGGGCTCCGGCACCCCAACAGGGACAAAGTTTTTCCTGATGTTTTTGTGGCACCTCCTGTGCTCCAGCTTGCACCCGCTGCCCCTTGTCCTGTCACTGGACATCCCTGAGCAGAGCCTGGCTCCGTCCTCCTGACACTCCCCCTTGACGTATTGATAACCAGGAGTGAGGTCACCCCTCAGGCTCCTCTTCTCCAGCTGCAGAGCCCCAGCTCTGCACAATGTTGATTCCTCTGATAACTGTATTTTAGCTCCCCAGGCACTTGGTGACATTCCTACCTGAGCCTTGTCCTCCACCTGGATCACTCGCTGTGCCCCTCTCGCCTCCGCTGTCTCCGCGGGAGCACGCAGGGTGTGCTGTAACGGGAGAGGATCTGAAGACGGAGGATGTGATTTCCATGGCTCTTTGTGGCTTGTTTTGTTTTGTTGGGTTTTTTTAAAGAGTTGGAGAGCATTGAGTGCACGCCGGCAGCACTTGCAATTTAGTTTCATCCAAAATGAATCTAATCTGGCTCTCTGAGACCCTTCGTAATGCAAACTAAAATGCAGTGAGAGTATGATTCAGAGATTTCCCTTCAAAAATGCAAACGTGCTGACGGAAACTTTACATGCTTTGCTCAAAATGGGCTGATCACAGGACAGAATGCCAAGTTGCATTTTATTTATTTATTTTTGCTTTCTACATCGAAATTCCAGTGGAATGGCTGGACAGACTGTTGAGCATAGGTTTACCTCTTGGTGCAGAGAAGGTTTCAGTTGTGTTTCCAAAGAAACGAGTGGTTTATCTGCAGGTTTAACTGTGGACTTTGGATCTTCGCTATGCACCTCCAGATCTGAATGTTTTTGCTTAACGTTTATATGCCTTTATGTAAGCATTATAAATAGCTTTTTCTAGCTGCAGGACATGTTCTGAAAACTAGATCTTATCGTGACTATCCGCTTAATTTATGATAACTATAGGAAAAAGTGAAACATTATCAGATTTTTAACGCGGCTTTTCTGGTTGTATCATTACTGGCGAAATAGGAAGTCCTCATTAAATATTCAGCAGTGTTGTGTTGTAGCTGACATGATGGTAAACAGAAAGCTGGCCCTCAAGTTGTGTAAAAACAAAACAGCAAAAAAAAAAACACCCCAAACCCAACCGTCCCCTCAAAGAACAAACACTCTCCCCAAATAAACCAAAAAATACCCACCCACAAAAAATCACACTTCCCTGAACTTGTTTTGAAAAAGTCTTCACGTTATTTTAAATTCAAATGAGTGGAAGAGACCGATACCCTCTGCTTTCTGGCGCTTTTTAAATTCCAAATGTCAGCGGAATTTTGCGGGAGGGTAGCTGAGTTTTTTAGCGTTAGCTTACAGTCCGGTATGTTTGTGGGAGAAGGAAGATGCATTAGGAGACATTCCTCACGCAGGGGTCTTGCAGAATACAGACTGAGATGTAAACAGATGCCTTCGCTTGCTGACAGTGCCTGTAAACGATGACATTTTTTGCCTGTCTTTCAGGATGAAAGTGTGATTAAGCTTACCCAAGAACTAGCTCAAAAACTAGGGTTAAAAATAAGGAAAGCGTATGTAAGAGCAAAGGTAAGATTTTGCTTGAACATTTTGCGTTGAGGTTTCCCTCCCTTGCTACCAATGGTGTGTTTAATGCAAATATCTTTTCATTGCAGCCGCCCTCCTCAAATTCAGTTTCTAGCGATCTATCAACTCAGGTAATGTTTTACATGTTCCAAGTGCAAGCTGACTTTGAACTGCAGGGAATAATTGTTTTGTAGTTTCGCTATGATGAGGTGAATATAGCGCAAGTGACACTTTGAATAAGACACTGTTATTTTGGCCTTTAGGGCTCTGTTGATCTTTGTGTTCGGTTTTGCTGGATATTTATGGTTGACCATAAGACATAAGATCATCATTCAAGCTATCTTTGTAGCATAAACGTTAGCTAAAACATTAAATCCAGTGCAGTGAATGTATTTACTTTTAATGTCTTGAGGCAAGGGCGTAGTGAATGTCCTTATTTCTTTATTTTATTCACGCATTTGTCCAAATCTGACTTTCACTAGCAGCTGAACTTGCGTTTATCTTGCTGTTTGTAATGTGTCTGAATAGAGGTAATGAAGAGGACTTGGTCTTTCTGACAGCCTTTTCTTCCCGGGAATGTAGACGATTGAGCTGTAAATGAATGAGGAAATGTAGAATCAGCTCATTTAAGATGCTGTTTAGGCTCTGTCATTCCCTGAAGTATCACTCTCACTTTTGTTGGTTGGATTCAGGTTTTTAGTGATGCCGTGAGTGGATTTCAGTTGGCAAATGAGTGCTTCATCCAAAAAATTATTTGACATTTAAATTTCACTAGACTTCATAAATTTCACATTTTACAAAACCTAAATTTGAGGACTCTTTAACATTCTTAGTTTGTAAATATGTATTTGAAAATATTTAATGGCTCTTGGGCAAAGTGCTGAGAGGTATTTTTTTCTCACTTACAGAGTTCTTCTGTAGAAGATATTGAGTTAGGTGAGTCTTGTGTTACAGTACTCATGCTAAAAATCTAGATATGCCATGAATATCTCATTGTATTTGTCACGAAAATTCGTAAGAAAATTCATCCTGTCATTTGAAAGATCTGTGGTAAAAAATCTGAGCTGTTTGTCTCTAAAACTGCGTATTTAAGTGGCTGAGCAAGTTTCCTTTTGGTCTCCTCAACTTGTTGTGATTGTAGCTGCTCCTATAGTGATCTTCTCGTGGTGTCCTCTTTAACTTGGAAAAATAAGGCAAGGAGAATATGACAGATTTAGTAAAGTATCAGTTCTGTAACTTTTCCTGTCTTTTCTAGTTTGAGTAACATATAAACAGAGAGAGGTACATGTGAATTGGAAGTTAGTGGAAGTTGAAAACATTTAATGTGGTTTTGCTTAAACATTCTTCATGTTTCTCCACTGCCTCGTCCCCTCCACACTGTCAGGGCAAAAGTTAGGCAGGACAGGGAAAAGTTCTGCAGGAGGATTTGAACAAAAGTTCCAGTCATGCCCATCTTACCTGTTTCAGATTTATCCGACCAGAAGCAAGAGATGGTTTCTGCTGCCTCTTCATCAAACTTTGTTTCTGAAGTGTCTAAAGTGTCACCAGTCCCTGTACCGCCTGTACCTTCTGTTATGCCTCTTCAAGTGGAGAAGGTTTCTTTGCCTCCTGCAGTGTTGGCCAACGGAGGGAATGTTTCCTTCTCTATGCCAGAAGCGTGTTTAGATTGTGGAGACGGAGATATAATTATTGGGGAAGAACTTGATGAATTACTTGATTCTGTGCCTGATCCAGATGAAAGTGTAATGGTGAGACTTTTTTGTTTGTTGTCTTTCTCAAAAGCCTGTCCTTATAAGTAGGTTCTTGTGTTGTTATCAAGAGAGGTGGTGGTGAACTGTTACTTTTGCTAGTTACCTTGAGCTCTCTTTGTGCGTAGTCGAGTTGATTTTTTTCTCAGGTGCAGGTTCCTGCAAATACGGCTGTAAAGGACCCAGCAGAGCTCCAGGGACAACGGCGTTGGGGTTGTGTGTTGGAAAACCTGAGTGAAGTTGCTGGGGGAGGGAAACTACCTCAGAGATACTGCTGTACTGCTACCCGTACTGCCCCATGGGACCATACTACTGCCAGGAAATATTTGGAAAGTGAAGTAGACATTTGAATTCTGGGCTGGCATGAGGGTTTTTTGGTGCAAGTAAACCCTCTCAGAACCTGGGAGTGTGTTGGAGCGCTCACCCTAGAGCTGCAGAAGCTCTAGTTGAACGTTGCTCATAGCTTTGCGGCACTCGTACTTGCACCAGGGTCTTCTAGTGCATTCACCAGCACCTCTGCAATCAGGGCTTTGTCCAGATTCCCCTTGTGGATAACCAGAATAGAGCATCACGAGTTTTTAGAAGAGATTATTAGAGAAGTTTAGACAGGTGGAGAGTTGTTCTGAATTACCCCGTCGTTCCAGAGCAGGAAGAGGCTGTGAAGCACCCGGAGTTCCTCAGCTCTTAGGCAAAATGAGAGCTCTGACTGATGAGCAGAATGTCTGAGCTCATTAGCAAGGTTATTCACTCTCTGCTGTGGCCCTGCCAGTCATTTGGAGTCCTGAATATAGAAATGTGTAACAAGGCTGTGACATATTTAATTCTTCAGTTAGCTGTGATCCAAATTCCTCCTTCAGCTGTGGACACAGTTGTAAATCTTTAAATCAAACATGCTTGGGCTTCTAATTTTCTGGTTTATGCACTTTGTTTTGTAGAAAGTATTTTGGATATGTAGAAAGTAATGATTTTTAAGAGATTCTACAGAGTGTGCCGTAGTGAAAGCCAGGAGGAAACGGAGTCGTCCGCGATAGACTGCAGCCTCAGGTAGCGTAGAGCCCTGAGTGAGCTGTAGGCTCACAGCGTGGGGAACAGGGAGTTTCTCCTCGGCCTTCAGACAAGGGAGGAGCTTCTTGGTGGGACAGGGAGAAGAAGGGAGACTCCCCCGCTTGTTATGTCCTTAGCAAAGGTGCACCCAAGGATGTCGTGTTTGCCATGGCGGGAAGAGGTGATCTGGCCTTTGCAGACCATGGTATCGTCTGGTTGTGTCGGCTGATTTATTTCAAGGGTAACTCCTGCCTCTTTCCCATACTGCAAATCAAACGAGGTTCTCTTTAAATAGAAAAAAAGTCATATTGATTTCTGACTCCCCCTACCCTTCCATGTTGTCTTATGTTTTTAACGTACTTAGGAAGAAAAAAATAATCCAGATCTGTTAAAAAGTTAATAAAGTTCAGCCAGGTGAACCTTCGGAGTGGTTAACTGATGGATAATTCCCTCCTTCAGGGCACTGTGATTGCCGTAGTTCTCCAAGTGCTCTGTACAGGACGGCAGTGTGCCTTTATTGTTGATTTTCAGTAAGTTTATAAAAGCTTTGCAAAAACTTCACTAAGATAAATACTGTTGCAGATTATGTTCCCCAGAGTTCTTTTGCTCCATGTGAATGGTTTTTTTGCATTTCTTTTTTTTCCAGCAAACTACAGGAGCCAGAGGACCTCTTCCTGCAGGAAGCGTAGCTACTACTGTACCTTTCTCTGCCTCTTTGTTGGGGACGCTACCAGTTAGTGCAGGATTTGTTCCTTCACCTTCTCTTTCAGAAATCTTTTCACAGCCTTTGGCTTCTTCACTGGAAAATTTTTGTTCACCCTTAAGCACCTTTTCAATCAGTGACCCAAAAAGAGGTTAGAACTGAGTCTTACTATGTAACCCTTTATGATGAGAGCCAGTTGTGCGTGAGGCAACTGGTTTCTCTTTTTAACAAATGAGTTTTCGCAACTATGCAGTAATATTTAACACATAACCTTTCATGTGTGTTCACAGTTTTTGAGACTATTGATAATAGGTTGTACACAAGAACTTAAAAATGAAGCTTTTGTTTACCTGGGCTCTGCATCAGCATGCTCCAAGCTCCCTCTGTTCAGTTTTTCTGCATTTATTGTGCAAGTTACTTATTTCAGTAGAATAAATATAAAGAAAGAACCATGTTCCTTCAAACTTTTTAATTTTTTTTTTGACCAAAGACATTCTGCTGAAATAATTTCTGATGATTTGGCAATAAACAAGAGTTCTCAAAGGTTAATATAACTGTATACTGTGAAAAGATACCAGTACTACCTATTTGGATTCAAACTCTAGGGACTACAATTACGTAGTGAAATCAGGTGTGTGAAACAACAAGATATAAACAGGCGGTGAACTAGAAAAGATAAAGTTTTGTCTCTAATTACCAGTGTTTATAGGAGCATGCTCTCCTTAGAATGAAGCCAAGTTTGCAAAATAAAAATAGAAGAATCCTCTTAACCCTCCTTCATCTCCTCATTTTTGATAGGAATTGCTTATCTAGCTGCCCTTTTTGTAACGCACAAGTATCCCCATGTTGCTTCAGCCTGGGAAGCTTCTGCCGGTTATATTGAAGATGATTTTTCAGCCCAGATGTTTAAAAGGGCCTTTTACATAATTAGAAAAAATTAATCGTAGCAAACAAACAAAGAGAAACTTGGTGTTTGTCAAATATGCAAACTTTTGATACTTCTCAGGAATGATCAAGAATTTTTTGACAAGGATGTTTTGGGGAACTGAAATAACTGTAACTCTTTTATTCCTTTAGACCTGTCAAGTTCAACTTCTAGAGATGGAACACCAGCTCTAAGCAGCAATAATTCCCCATTGTTTGTAAGCATTTCTCATGTTTTCTTTCACGTCGGTTCAAATGTTAATACCTTAAAGGCTTAACATAGGTCTTAATTTTACAGTAGAAGTTTGTAGATTTAAAAAATCGTGCTTTTACCATTAATGCTTTTACCATTGATTCTGGCGTGGGAAACAGCTGTAGAGTAGCTCACAGCAGCAGTAACTGAACACAAGAAAAAATGTGCAAAGGCACAGATGTTTCATATAGGCAACACTGGACAGCAGCCCAATAGCCACTTTTCCATTCTGAGGAACTTGCTGTAAAATACCGTGAAGTGTATCATAACCAACCTAAGAAAGGCAAAATCTCTTAGGACCTGAGGGCCAAATGTTAAGAATCCTGGGGAACTGTCCTAGCTGAGGAGCAGAGCAGAGATCACCTGGTGTCTGAGATCCGCCTGCTCTCTGTTCTGTACCCTGCTGTGCGGTGCCAGTCGCGCTGCTGGTCACGGGTTGGGTGGGAAAGGGTGGCTTGAAGGATTTCCTGCTCATGAGTCAGGATGGAGTGAGAATTACACCGGCCAGCGCTGTTCTCCCTGTGCACGTTGGGTCTTGTTACATGCTCAGCCTGTGCTGAATTTATGGCTTTTGTAAAATCTCCGTGTCCCCTTTTAAACATGCAGTTAAATTTGTATTCTGATCTTTTCTTTTTTCATGTAGTCTTTCTTAGGCTTTGAAAGAATAACTTTAGGAGATTAAATTTTAATTGTAGATAAATAAATCGCGTGGTTTGAGTAAAATACGCTTTCTTCCAACAGATAAATGGCCCTAGTAGTTTGTTCGGGTCAGAAAATTACATGGGAATTGCAGGCCAAACCAGAAATGACTTTTCAAATGTTTTTAGCAGTGCCACTGCTAATATACCTGTATCTTCAGCACTTGCGGGAAGAAACCCATTAGAAGGCACGCATGAGCTAAGACAGGCCTGCCAGTTATGTTTTGTCAAAAAAGGTAAGAGGCTTTTGGACTCGCTTGAGTTGATTTTTAGAAAAATTAAAAGCATAAATTCAAAATTTTAGTGGTCATAAGTTAAAACGATGTTGGCTTCTAAACAGTGTTAATCCTGACTTGTTCTTTGCAGATGTTGTCTGATCTTATGATTAAGGAACTGGCAAAATGTTTCAGCAACTATTTTATCTGCTTTCTTCTTGTCTGTCTTTCTTGTCCTGATAGATTCTTGATTCCTAAAACCGCCACAATTCACCACACACTTTCCGCAACCTGTAGATTTCCTGTGTAAGGTCGTTCACGTTCTGTATTCACTCTCCTCCCAACCCCCAGGGTTCTGTGAAGAATGACACCTTTGCTCAAGACTAAAAAAAACTTGCAATACTCTCTCTGATTGGCCATGGGGAATTGAACTGCAGTTCAAAGTACCTGGTAACCTTCACATCCCATCTGTTTTATTGTTCTTTCAAACTAATTCTAAATCATAATCCTGAGGCTTCCGGACCTTAGTAATAATTAACTCCACTGTATTGACTCAAAAGATCTTAACCACTGTAGGGCTTTAATAGGACTAATCTTGTAGGCCTGAGCTGTTGCTGTTAAACGGAGGCACTTTCTAGAGGCAATAGCTTTTGTTAAGACTAATCTTAAAAGCAAGACTTGTGTTTCGAGTTCTAGGCGTCACTGATATTGATATACTAATAAAGAGTCGTACCGAGACGTTTAGGGGATAACTATTGTAGTTTTAAGAACTTTTGTAGTAGTTGAAGAATACGTTCACGAGAAAAATCCATTCAGTGATGTCTGAAAACCCATGGAAAACGTTCTGTTAAAAGCAAGAGCTATATTGGCAGAAGTACTTAGCATGTTCCTAGCTTCACTTTTTGGATCAGAACATCTATTTCTTCTGCTTCTTTGCATCTCTATCAAAAGTTTCTCCTGCTTTTGCTACCTACTTTTGAAATTGAACCGTTCCATCGGCTTCTTGTCCAGGGAAACTGGGTCACACTCTTGTTTCTGTAGTCCCTTAAATAGCAAAATTCACTGAGCATTGCTCATGTTCAGACTCTCTCCCTGATTTCTCCTTTTTCACTTTGGTGTCATCCTCAAGACAGAATTTAAAACTGGGCATATTTTTGTTTCCAAAATTACAAATTTCTTGGGATCAGCTTGTGTATTTTGGCCCTGGTGTACTTCTTACCTACTGTATTTGTCTCTGAACACGGTAATCGTTCTAATACAATAAAATTTGAAGGTTAAGAGAGCCATTTACTGATCCTTGCGATTCTTCCGCATTTACTTATTATAAAGGGGCAATCTGAGTTTTAGCTCAGTCTCATGAAAATGTGTACTTTGGAAATGAAGAAAACCACAGCAATTTGTTGCTGTCCTAAGTAATCTTAAGGTTGTAACGCAGCTTCCCTCCCGAAGTAACTTGTGATTTTTCTTTTTCTTGCCAAGACTGGTCCTTCTGTAAGTATTTTTCCTATTGTGCTCAACACGGCTGTTAATGACTTTTGGCTCTCCAGAGTTGCTGGTGCAAGTAGGAATTCTATACAGCGCATTCGTATACTTTGCTTTTGGGCTTATGTGGCGTCTGTGTATGAACACGTTCAAAGTGTGCTGCAATTTATGCAAATAGAAGCAATTTTCTGCGATTGTTTCAGGTCCTAAATTATTGGATTACGCTTACCATCCCAGTTTAGAGCATAAATGTAAGAAGGATATTCTAATCGGCAGAATAAAAAACTCTGAAGATAAATCATGGAAAAAAATACGGCCAAGACCAACAAAGACACAGTATGTGGGACCATATTATATATGTAAAGGTACGTGTTACAGATAGTAAAACCTTAATGCCTACACTCCAAGTAATATAGTTCAGCTTTGCTGCAGTGGAGTATAGAATGAGTTTTATTCTTGCTCATGGGAGGTGGAGAAGGATGTTCACTGGGTTGTTTGTATTTTCAAAGGCCATAAGGAGAGCCATATTTTTACCATTAATGTGATGATTTAGAGAACACGCGCTGTGCTTCATCGTGACTAACTTGCCTTTGGAGTGCTGGGCTACTACTGTCCAAAACAACAAGAAAGCATTGTTATAAGCAAGATGGCTTGAGGATTAATAAACAGGTGTAGTTAAGGGCTTGGAACAAGGTGATCTTTAAGGTCCCTTCCAACCCTGATAATTCTATGATTGCAAAGGGCATGCTGCGTTCTCAGCATCGTTGCCTCAGGCTAGAAAAGGAGAGTTGGTGGAGGTGCGCATCAGCCTTCCCGAGGAGTCCTGTATTTTCGCCAAATCATTCAGCATAAGGTTTTGCTTCTCTCTGCTTGATGTAAGTGACCCGTTTACAACAGACGTCGCTTATTGATTAAAAACATTTGAAATTGAGATTGTGGAAGTTTTAAATGAATTTACAGCAGCAGTTGTGTAAAAGCAGTGTGGTATTCAACGGTTCCCTTTTAGATGTTGCTGCTGAAGAGGAATGCAGATATCCCGGCCATTGCACGTTCGCGTATTGCCAAGAGGAGATCGATGTGTGGACGCTGGAGCGCAAAGGGGCCTTTAGTCGAGAAGCTCTTTTTGGAGGAAATGGAAAGATCAACTTGACTGTCTCCCGACTCCTTCAAGAACATCATGGATTATTTATGTTTCTTTGTGAGGTGCTGCTTTATTTCTAATGATACAGTAAAAATGATAGTAGATAGTAAAACTCCCTGGAAGGGTATGATTTGGTTCATTCGTGAGTATTTTGTAAATTTTGAAATGCACGGTCCATAATAGTCTAGCTAACTTTAGATTAGAGACTAGTTGAAGTCTCTGTTAAAATCTTTAAGGTAAGGTATGTTTTGAAATGTATAATTTTAAATGTATAAAATACATACTCTATAATGACCTGGTTTTTGTATTCCAGAAATGTTTTGATCATAAACCCAGAATAATAAGCAAGAGGAACAAGGATAACTCCTCTTCCTGTTCTCACCCTGCTATGCATGACTTCGAAGATAATAAGTATGTCTGAAATACCATCTCCTGTGAGATCCTGTGGTTTTTTACACATGAACAAAATCAGTTTAAGGAATATCTAAAATTGACTGTTCTCGAAACAGGTGCCTTGTCCACAGTTTGCGAGAAACTATGGTGAAATATTCCAAAATTCGCCCTTTTCAAGTTCGGTGTCAGCTTGACCTGTGCAGACATGAGGTGCATTATGGCTGCTTACGAGAGGATAAATGCTTATATGCTCACAGCCTGGTGGAGCTTAAAGTCTGGATAATGCAAAAGGAAACAGGTATGTTTGGCAAAATGTCGCTTTACTCTTCATCCTAATGTCCTTTCTTCCTTGTTTCAACTCCCTTCTGAAATTACCGATTTGGGACCGGTGCACTGACTTGGAATTTGCTGGAGTCTTTCGTACAACACATTTAAGAAACAGTAATGCAAATACTATGAAAAGCATCGAGTAGGCTATGACTAGCTATTCAAAATCAGCAAGTTTTTGTTATAATAAAAAAATTTCAAAACTGCTCGTTAGGATCAAGCAAACAGTAAAGCCAAGTCAAACTAGGTTTCTTTTTATTTAAACCTTGAAAGTTAGAAGATCTTGATAAAATTCCTTTTTCACAGAGCACTGAAAGAAAAGCTTAAATATTTTATTTGTGCTGCTGTTTCCCTCTATTCCCCAGTACCAGAATCAATTTTTTCCACAGTTAAATTTTTCTTCTGGCTTAGTGCCGTCCTGATACTTTAATGAGCCAGAAAATAAATCTTTTCAGTTTGCTACTTTAGTTCTCATGGTGTGACATAGTGACGTTTATCTCACATGGAGTGTGTATGCATTCAATATATAAGAAGAAAAATAGGGAAAAGCTTTGAAGTTCAGTAGCATTCCCGTTTGAGAATGTTTGTAATTCTATAACAGTCCTAACTGCTCAAGAACTTTTCCCTTCCTTTCAAGGTATTTCACATGATACTATTGTTCAAGAATCAAAGAAATACTGGCAGAACATGGAGGCTAGTGCACATAGATCACAGGTATTTTCATTTTCCCAGTAATCTAATTCTACAGTGACTGTGATAATTCTTTTTCTATGCCTCTGTTTAATGTAGCTTATTTTAGAAGGGACTTTTTAAATGCTCTCTCTAATCTCCTTCACTGTAGGCTTTCTTCGGCTTGCTCCACTTTACACTTTGCCTGCTTTGCTTCTACGTAATTCCTTTTGTACTTCGTTTACTCTGTCATAGGCAGAACATAGAACGTAAATATAATTTCAGTGTCAACTGCCATAGGGCAATTAATTGTCTTTTCAATATGCAGGGCTTGTGTGTGTTTAGTTTGTATACATTACCGCAGCTTTTGGTACGCATACTTAAATCAGAAATAAGCTCAATAAAAATGAATTTGTTAAGAAATGTGTAGTTTGAAATCAGAAGATAAACTACTACAAGGGCTGTGGTGTAACGTCTGCTTCCGGACACGCGTCGTAAACTTTTGTTGCAGGGGGTAATTCATAATGATGTATGGATTTCTTTGCAGATACAAAATACCTTTTATTGTTGTTGTTGTTATTTTTTTGACTTAAGATCCTTGGGAACCAAATGAAATATGGGTCACTTAATCTGAAGATGAAGTTTGTTTGTGGTCAGTGCTGGAGAAACGGACAAGTTAATGAGCCAGACAGAAACAAAAAGTACTGTAGTGCAAAGGCAAGACACCCGTAAGTAAGACCAAGCTGTCCGATTTTTACTGGTTTGTCAGCCCTTTGAAACCTCTTTTGGGAAACTGTTACTGCTCAGGAAAGAGTCATACAAGGAATTAAAAAAAAACCCCAAACCAAACCCCCACAAAATACATATCAAAGCAAAACACAGCCATCTCATATTTGGGAATGAGAAGCACTAGTGGCTGTTTGCTTAGGGGGTTGTGTTTTGGTTTGGGTATTTTTTAATTATCAGTTGTGCTAAAGTTTCAGTAGAATTTAGTTAAACCTCAAATACGTGGCGGAAGCTTTATAAAGGACCTTTCCGGACTATCCTCGTTCTGCTTCTGGGTACACAATTGTGATTTTATTTTTTTAAATACGATTTTCTTTCGTTGAATGCGTCTGCTTTTTAGATGGACCAAAGATCGCCGTGTGGTGCTCGTAATGTCTAACGAACGTAAGAAGTGGATGACCATTCGTCCTCTTCCTGCAAAGAAACAAGTGCCTCTGCAATTTGATGTACGTGAACCTAAAACTTCTAGTTAAGAAAGTTGGGTAGCTGGAAAATACTTCAGTTCTGCAGAAATTCCTGTGGGAATTCAGCCTTAGAAAAGCACTAATCTCGCATGTTATTCCTGAAGCCCTTTGTCATCAATGGAAAATAATAACTTTAAAGTGATTTAATGAAGTTTGTACTATTTCCAGTAAATATTTCAGAAATAGTTTAAACATATTTGCAGTCTGGTAATGTGGCAGGAGGCAAAAAACAGTCATAGGACTTGCTTCCAGCAGTTGGCTTTTTCTTACTACAATATACGAGTATTTTATTTTATAAAATAAGTGTGATTTTATTTTTCATGTGATATAAATGTCTGATTCGGAGGGGAAATATGAACCAAGACTGAAAAAAAAAGAAAAAACAAAGCCATTTTCTACTGTCATCCATTTTACTTCATATTCATCAGGATTTCTTTTAATTCACATTCTAGTTGTGCAATCATATTGCTTCAGGCAAGAAATGTCAATATGATGGAAACTGCTCATTTGCTCACAGTCCTGAGGAAAGAGAGATGTGGACCTATATGAAGGAGAACAGCAGTAAGTAGAAGAGTAAAGAAGAGTAAACCTGACTGTTCTGCTTTTCATTCTTACTAGGTCTTAACCCACTTTCTTTCCCTGTCTTTTGTAGTAAACCTCGCAGGTGCTGCCTTTTTTTTGGTTTGTTTTTTTGAATAAGCCCAGACTGGGTATTCGAAAGCAGTATTAAATAAAAATAGCTATATTGTATTTTTGTTGCTTGAGGTGTTTTTTAGCAAAAAGTAATTTGCATCAGTATTTTTAGATGTCTTAGAACTAGTCTATTGATCCGTGGGGCAATATTGTTTGGTGTTTATACTGTGCATTGCCACGTGCACACAGAGGATCGTGCTGAGAACACGGGGAGCAAGCTGTTCGTGGAAGAGTTTCCCCCTCCTCTGGTGTGTTTACTGAGAATTGCTACTCGCGCTCTGTCGTTGACTTGTTGTCCCGTTACAGTAGCACTGGGGAGAAATAATCAAAAATCAGCAGTAATAAGCGACATAAATTATAATATCACGGTCTGCAAGAAAGCAGACTAAGCTTACTAAAACTAAGCACGCTCTGTGTTAGTGCTTCCAAGTTCAGATGGCGATGCAGAGCGGCACAGCTGTTCGGTGCGTTGGGTGCCTGCTGAGAGCGGCGTAACGCGCGCCCTTCCCCGAGGTGGGCACGGCCGGGGCTTGGCAGCCAGCCGGAGATTCACCTTGCTCTTGGCAACGAACCTCGAGGTTGCGTAACCATCCACCTTGTGTCTTTCCTTTTTTCTTCTTGCAGTAGGTGGGGACTGAATTATGTTTGCACACTCAGTTTATCTAGGGATCTCAAACTCTTGCCTTAATTGCTAATTACTTATTTTAGCTTCTGCTCTCATTAGTTCAAGACTTGGAGCAGTTGTATGACATATGGCTAAAAAGTCAAAAAACTGAAAAAGGAGACGATACAGCTGCTCAGGCAAACAAAGAAAATGGGAAGCAAATTCACATGCCGACTGACTATGCCGAAGTTACAGTAAGTAATCATGGGTATAATTCTAAATTCAGACGTGGGAGTTGGTTGGTTTTTGTTCCTGGTCAATAACATATTTTCATGGTGCTTCCTTAGCTCATAGCTAGCTCTGCCAAATGCAAACTTTCACTGACACTGTAACGCAGTTCTTCTTAATCATCTAAAGCTCATGGAAATCATGACCTTCAGGTGATTGTTTAAATAACTGTATCTGCCCGGGTAACCAACAATTTGCAGACCAACATAAAGAAAACGTTTGCAGTGTACTAGGAGTAGTTCTGTGCTTAGAGAATTGAATTCTCAGTGTTTTGTTTTCAAATTCCCTGTAAAACAGGTGGATTTTCACTGTTGGATGTGTGGGAAGAACTGTAATAGTGAGAAGCAGTGGCAGGGTCACATTTCTTCTGAAAAGCATAAAGAGAAGGTTTTCCACACCGAGGACGACCAAAACTGCTGGCAGTATCGCTTTCCAACCGGATATTTTAGCATTTGTGATAGGTATGTGTGCTTCAAGATGTCAAAAATGCTGAAAAATGACAGTGGATAGTGTAAATAATTAAGGTGGTTATCAGTTTCGACAATGTTTCTAATATTTATTGCTTTGCATGCATCTTTCAACAAGAAATTAAGTAATGAGCAGGATTTTAACATGTACTGTTAGAACTCGGGGAGTGCCGTGGTCCTGCTGGTGGAACCAGATGAATGCTTGTGTGAGGGCAGTAAAGGGTTGCAGGATTATTGCTGCTGCGTGAAATACTGTTGGTATTTTTAAAAGTTGACTTAGGCGTCTGCATTTTAATTACTTGTGGAACACAAGAACAGGACTTAGCTGGACAGTGACACTGGAGCTTTTAAGGCCGCTGGAAATGTTGTTACCGTCAAGCCAAACGTGTAAAGATCAAGTATTTGTGACTGGAAATCGTTTATGAATGTGTGGAAGAGAACTTCCAACATGTTGGTTTCCCCAACAGGAGTTGTATGTTTTCCTGCTCCCTTTAATTCTGAAGTGCAGCCTGTTTGCCTGACTGCAGTAGGGTTTTTTTCGTACATCTCTTGAAAGTTCTTTCCACTGTTGGAGGATTTGTGGAAGACTAAAAGATTTTGGAATCTGTGTTCTGGAGCTAAAGATTTAATAGCTACCTTTGCTGCTCTATTTCGAGAAAGCTTTTGGATGTTTTGGAGACCTTGAGAAATTGCACAGCCTATAAAGCAAGTTATATTTTGTTTGGTGTCTTTGCATGGAAGCTTGCATGCTTCCTTTACTAATGTTTTTAATACTAATTTTTATAATAATATCCTTTTTTCATTTGACAGTTTGAACACTGAACAGAACTCAGATATCCTGTATAAAGTGAATATAAACTGGCGTGCTTATAACTTAATACAAAACATTCGAGGAGTAAATAGATTCTTAAGTCATACTGAGTACTGAAACCCCAAATTTAGTGAACAGGGTAATTAATTAGTTTAGTTCTTTGGCTTAGTGAGTAAAATGATAAGCTATTCATTTAGCTGGTAATTTGACCTGATGAAATTAAAGGGGTTTTTTAAATGATGCTGTAAAGAAGGGGCATGAGGAACAGGAAGAAAAGAGCTGTCTCTTGTCCTCTATAATTGTTTGACATCTGGAAAAGAAAAATATGATCAAATGCTAAAGAGCATTATTATCATCTTAACTTAAATACTTTTCAAATTATTACCTTTTTTTATCCTTAGTATTTTAGTATATTTGAAAAACATGACCAGAAGACAATACCTAGATACAATAGTGATCGTGATAACTCTGTGAAAACGCTATTCGAAATCTGTCTTGACAGATATATGGCTGGTACTTGTACTGAAGGAAACAACTGTAAATTTGCCCATGGAAATGCTGAACTCCGGGAATGGGAAGAACGACGACAAGTTTTAAGAATGAAGCTCAGCAAAGCAAGAAAAGACCACTTGATTGCTCCCAGTGATAATGACTTTGGAAAATATAGTTTTTTGTTTAAAGATTTAAACTAATACTGAGATGACACATACATGTTATCAGCTGGAAGCATAAACCAGAAAATTTGACAATAATCAAAAGCATGTGACAGAAAAGCTGCAGGTTTTCTGCTTTTATTGGCGTATATTGTTCCTCCTGAACAGCAAAATATAGTAGATTTAGGGGGATTGAGCAGACCTGTCGGTGCTCTCATGAAACAGAGTGGTGATTAAAAAAATCTGAAGTATTACATGCTTACTCACCTTCTGTTGGACAGAAAGTTAGGAAATAGAAGTGGGGGAAGAGGGGTTGTAATATCTAGGAAGCCCCCTAGTACCAGTCCTTCAGCTGAAAAACTTTAAGGTTTCAAGGTTTTATAAAACAGTGTGTTACGGGCTACGAAGAAAATGACAGATGAAAATTCTTCAGATCTTTTAATGGAGAGGATTTGTTTAAAACAAAGTTTGCTACTTATCTATATGTAGGTTGCTAAAAAGGATTTTCTTATTAAAGATTTTAAACAAAATAACCATTTAACTGCAATATATGTTGAATGGGTATTTTTTCTCTATTTGTATGTTTCCATATAATTTACTGAAAAAGGATCTTGGGAGGAAAAAAAACGTATTCATTTTTGAAAATGAAGTAGTTAAAATTCTGTTTCTTGGTCTTTGCTGTTTAAATGATGATTTTGGAAGATTACACTTGTATGTCAGTATTGTGTATTATTGTATGGACTAATGTTGCCTGTAATAAAGAGACCTTTACACAAAGCTGTTTTCTGCATGTAGCCTCTCCAGGATTGAGATTTTGTAAAAACAAACAACGATTTGCCTATTAGCGAAAGCTTGAGCACCTGTAGCTAAAACTTTAGTTGGTATTTGTGTCTCCAGCTACTCGTTTGCAGTTTTCTGTATTGTCACCAGCTCATCACATCATTAAAGTAACAAAAACGGCCAACTAACTTGTGAAGTAGAGAAACGTGTTGGAGCTGTGTGGGGCCTGGGCACGTTCTCAGCCTTCTGTGTGGAGCTGCGAGGGGGCTGCTCCTGCAGAGGAGAAGGAAATCCATTGCGGGGCTGAGGCGGCTTCTGCCTCCCCCCACCGGGGCTTTACAGCTGCTGGAGCTTCTCCTGTGTTTTGGCTTTTCTGGACATTGTGCTTTCAGTTTTCTTTGTGCGTTCACTTAATTTTTAATTTTTTTTAAACTAAGCTTGTCACTCGTTCATTTGAAATAGCTAAAGCTACGTTTCTTCCCCATGACTTACTTTTCCCTCCTCTCAAGAATATTTTTCTGTGTTACTGGCTGACCTTGTTCTAACTAGAAGAGCTTTAAGAATGATTTCAGTAGTTCGACTGTAGTCCCTGGCCATACGTCGTGTCTGTGAAGAGTGTTGAACCAAAGCCCAGCGGTGCCCGTGTGCAGCGAGTTCCTGCCAGGCCTGGGCCTCGCATCCCCTTCCCTCCTCAGAGCAGAAGCACAAGTGGCA